TAGCCATGCAGCAACCCCAAACTAGCCTGTGATCATTTGTATGTCATGGTTTGTGGGTTCCTTAAGGATTCAGTCATCAGTGCTGGTCCTGAAACTCGCCAGCTGTGTGACTTTGGACTTGGAATCCAACATCTTCCTGTGCAACTTTTGACAGGTCACCTCCCCTCTCTGGGCTCTGGTTTCCTCATGTCTAAAATGGGGGTAACGGTCCTTCACCCCACCTACCTCACAGGATACTCGGGAGGGAAATGTTTTGTAGGCTTCAAAGTACTAGAGAGCAGTACCTAGTGCCGTGACCTAAATGAGGATAAGGGAGAGTAGTTACCGGCTTCCAGCCATTGTCGACACCTTGATATTAGATGGGCCTACTGAGTCCTAAGAACCAGAGAGGAGTTGCTTCTGCAGGGCACCAACACAGGACAGGGCAGTCAGAGTCTTCAGCAGCCCTTGACCCTCTGTGCCCTTCTTGCCCAGCCACCTTCCTGTCTTTTCATTGGCCTTGGGCCCAAGCGCGGCCCAGAAGGCTTCTGATGACCACGCCTTCCAGCCAGCCTTCAGACGGCCCTGGTGGCATTCCCATCTTTGCTTGCCACCTGCTCCAGATTAAAGCCTCTCCTTGCACCTCCCCATGCTTCTTGGGACGCTCTACCTAACCCTTCTTGCCATGGTTTGCATTGGTATTCATTGAAGGCTCCTCGAATCGGAATGCCTGGCCCCCTCATTGGGCCTCTGGCTCATCTTACCAGTAGCTGTGCCATTGACGATGGCTGCATCCTCCTAACGACTCCACGCTCGCTGAGGGCAGGGACCCTCCCTGTCTTGGATATCTGTATGTGTTCACCCACAGTTCCACTCCCTCCCAGGTGTGCCAGCTGACTGACGTGATGGAATTAGCCACAGGATTTTGGGGTGTCACTTCAGGCGGAGGAGGTGTTGGGGGGGGTCCTTTCTCAGTGGTTGCCAGCTGCTACATGCTTTGATATGCACCTTAGGCGCTTTGGAAGCAGAAGGCTAGTTAGTCAAGGATATTAAAAGAGGGAGGAGAAGAGACAAAGTTGCCCGCCCTTGAAAATGTGGCCTTCTAGGCCTGCTCCTCTAAAGAGCTGGGGTGTGAACCTCCCCAGGCCTGCAGGAGGCCCTCATGACACCATTTGTTTAAGGCGGTATGGCTCCAGAGAAAGCACTTCCACTGTAGTGTTTGGGAGTCCTAGATGAGCCTGGCTCTGGGGACAGGAAGGACCCCCTCACTGACATGTAGGGAAGCAGGGGACCAGGTCACACAGGGAACAAATGTGCCAGGTGGGATCTGACTCCAGTCCTTTGACTGGAACCTCTGTATGGCTATGGGCGAATTTCTAACCCTTTCTGATCTTCACTTGCCTCATGGATAAGATGAGAATAAGAATCACCACGGACTGCACCTCACTGGCTGGTGGTGAGGGAAGAGTTATGGAGAGGAGGACATGCATGCATGTGGTGGGGAGAGGTGCGTGATGAGTGTATGTCTGTGCCTGCACGCGTATGGGTGTGTGTTGGGTGTGGATGTGCATTGTACATGTGTATGGGTGTGCATGTGTGTGTGTTTGTGTGCGTTTGGGTGTGTCGCGTTACACGTGTGTATAGGTATGTTGTGTATGGGTGTGCGTGTGTGTGCATGTGTATGGGTGTATGTTGTGTGTACATGTGCACAAGTATGGGTGTGTTGTGTGTGCATGTGTATTGGTGTGTTGTGTGTTTCAATGCGTTTGGGTGTGTTGTGTGTACACATGTGTATAGGTATGTTGTGTGTGGATGTGCTCGTGTGTGCTTGCATGGGTATGTGTTATGTGTGTGGGTGGGTGTTGTGTGTGTATGGGTATATGTTATGTGTACGTGTGTGTGCATGGGTGTGTGTTATGCATGCATATGTATGGGTATATGTGTATACATTGTGTATGGGTGTGTATTGTACGTGTGTGTTCATTATGTGGGGGATGTTGTGCATGTGTGTGTGCATATGTGTGGGTGTGTGTTGTGTGAGTGGATGTGTGTGCCTGGGGTTGACGAAGAATCCCTGATGGGGGTTCCTTCCCTCTCCCCAGCCCACCGAGCCTCACTGGGGGGGGGGGCCTTTGCCTTGCTAGGCCGAAGCCTCCTCCCTGACTCCCAGCCTGGGCCATTTCTTTGCTTTGACCGCCATCTGTCTGTCACATCCTGGGTCTGCTGCCTTTCTGCAACGCGGCCAGGTGATGGGCTGGGCTCAGCAACCGCAGACAGGAGCAGGACCAGGGCATGATCCCTCGGGCTCTGAGCCAGCTGCTTCCCTGCCTCACTCTGGGGCCTCGGCCCCCCGGTCTCTCAGGAATGCAGCCTCGGTTTACTCGCCTGTAAACTGGCCGCCAGCCTCCCAGTTACGTGGAGCAGTGCAAGGGGATATGGGAGTGGGAGGTGCTGAGGCAGCCCTTGCCCCACGTCCAGCAGTGTGGATGAGCTCACCGCCGGGGAAGCCCAGCGCTGCCGTCTGGCTTCTCGTCTCCAGTGAGAGCCCTGCAACAGGCCGTGTTTGCCCTGACGTTTCGCCGTTGGAAACAAGGGCGTAATCAGTGAACACAGGGTAAAGAATTTGATTGTTTCCCCCGAGCTAGGTCCCTGGCTCTGGCCAACATTCCTCCTGCCTCCTTCCTCATGTGAGGGAGAGCCACAGCCTGGGAATTAGGCCTCCTGCTTGGTTCCCACCCTGTAACCTGCCCCTGGAGGCCCAGCTGGACACAGGGTGGGCGGGCAGGCAGCTGGGCCTTGTCCTTCTCACTGGTCCATCAGCAGTGATGGCTTTCCCTTCTGCTGGCCTGCCCGCCCACCCTCTGATGAGCTAGGCAGCTGTGAGTCCTGTGAAGAGAGGGGCACTTCCTCTGGGAGGTCAAGCTGGCCTTTCTCTTCTGGTTTTGTAGGGAATACACAAGGCCCATCCAGAGTACCTTCACATACAGGCAGTCCAGGCCTTGGAAATAGCAGAGGATGAGTGATCCTAGCTGGGAGGAGCTCAGGGAGCCAGTACCCTCCCTTCCCCTTCTAAGGGCCCCTCCTAGAGCTCTCTCGAGCTCACCATCAGGCCCAAGGAAATCAGTTGTTGCAGGAATACGTACACTTTCCCATCTTCCCCTGGGCCCACACGGCGTACGTGTGCACACGCACACACATACATGCACACTCTTACACACATCCACTGCCATTCCCACCCAGGAGCCCCTGATGGGAGAACTCTGTATCACCCCTTCCTGCAGCCAGAGGCCTCAAGAGGAATAGGAGAGCACCTTGTGCTTGGAGAGAGGCCTGTGTTCTCAGGAAAGTAGATTCCTTAGCCTGAGGGCCACCCCCCACCATCTGCTCTCCTGCTGCCCCCAAACAGCCCTAACAGGTGGATGGAAATCCAGTCTCCAAGCTGGAAGAGGCCTTCTCCAGCCTCTGGCCCGTCTCGCTTTGGGACACCTCAGTCTGGGGCCCACTCTTGCCTCTCTGCTACTATAGAAGCTTAGACATGGAGTGTAGAGACCCAGGTCCCCATGAGCCAGCCTCTTCCCCTCTCAAAGGGCCAGGGCCTTTGAGCTCGAACCCAACCATCCCGTTTATAATCCTAGAGTCAGTGTCCAACACATAGTGGTTACTTAAATGCTCGCTGCCCGGTTCTGTGTGACATTGGGTCCATCTGCTCAGCCACCGTGAGCCTCGGTTTCTTCTCCTGGAACATGTGGCTAATAATCCTTGTCCTCCCTTGGCCCAGAGTGACTGTAGAGAGTAATGTGGCTCCAATATGCCAGCCTGGGCACTTGGCCTCCATTTCTGACTCTGGTGCCTCAGCTGGGTCTCGTCTACTTCACAGGAATGCATTCAAGTATCCTGAGCAGCTCTAGCACCCGGGCCAAAGAGCTCCCTCTGGCCCATAGGCTGAGGAATCCCTGAGGGCCCGAAGCAAGCCCGGGGAGCACGGTGGCTGTTTCCCAGCTTTCTTGCGTCCTCCCCCTGCTTGAGCAACTAACCCAAGATCCAGGAGGGCTGGGGCCATTCATCGTTCTGAACTGACCTGCCGTCTGGGGCATTTGCAGAGAGCAGGGGGCTCAAGCACATTTCATGGGCACGCAGAGCACAGAGGTGCCTGGGAGTCACACGTGTTTTTGGAGGGCCACTGGGAGGAAGCTGCACATGAGTGTCAGCCACAGTCCTGGCCTAGCCCTCAGGGAACTGGGAAGATGAGACCCGTGCACACAGACACGGGCACGCACCACACGCACAGGAAACCTTGTTGTTAGCCTGAGTCACAAGGCAGAGAATATGTGCTCGGTGAGGACAGAGGGCCAGAGCGGGGCTGTGCAGAAGTGCTGAGGCAGAGGGCCATGGGAAGGGCATGGGGGGGGGGCGGGGAGGAACCCACGTGGAGCGAGACTTTGTCCCGTCACCAGCAGAAAGGGGCAGGAGGAGTCTGGACTTCAAATGCACTTCGTGCAAAATTGATAAAATGTCTCCTGGGTGCAAAGCTTTGTGCCAGGCCCCGGAAATGCCAAAACAGAAGCAGCTTGCCCTCCAGGAGCTTACTGGGACTTGCTATTTAACTGTTCACTGAGGAACCACCAGAAGTGTTTGAGGAAGGAAGTTGGGGCAGCATGGACCCAGAAGCAGATGTTTTCCTGCTTTCCTGGGGGTGAGGAGCAGGGGAGTGAGACGTGCCCCTGAGGCAAAGCCCTACTGCAAACAGAGTGGGGGCAGGGGTAATGACCGAGGCACGAGGAGGGCTTCCGATAGGTTATGGTCTGTGGCAGCGAAGAGGAGGGGACGGCGGGTCTAGAAGACGGGGTGGTGGCTTGCCAGGTGACTTAGACCGGGGCTGGATCCCAGATGACTCCGTGGCTTCTAGCCTTGAACGCCGAGGAAGGGGAAGCAGGAATGAGGGAGCCGCGCCGCTCGCTGTGCCGTCGTGTCTGGACCAGCGCCGTTTCAAGCTCGCTCTCGTGTCCTCTGTCCCTTTGCAGTTGGCCTTGCTGAATTTCTTCTTTCCTGAAGAAAAGCTCCCCGATGAAGAAGAAAGTAGACACGCTCAGCGCAGCAAGAGGAGTAAAAGCAGTGAAGGAGCAGACGGTAAGCGACTCCCCGCCCCCTCCCCTGCCAGCATGCCCTGGCGGGGTAGTTCACGTCCACTTGGCCTTCCTGTGCCGAGGCTAGGCTTGTCCCTGGTGACTGGCTGCCAAGGGGGTGTCTGTGCTCACCACTTGTTTGGGCCACAACCATACTGGGGGCCCTCCCACGTCACCCAAGGCCACTTGGGACACAGGAGACCGAGCTTTCCAGCATGACTCACTTGGTGAATGGGCTGCAGGAATTTAATCACATAATTAATCGTGTCTGTTTGCACGGTAATTACTCATTGACCCACGACTGCTCCATGACGCCAGGAGGCGGTCACTGGTTGGCCAACGTTAATGGGGAGCAGGCAGTTTGGCCCTGCTGGTTCCTTGGTGGCAGCTAATTAAGTGACCAGTGGGCTGCATCTGTCCCACAAGGACACGTGCAGAGGCCTGCGCTGCCTCGGCAGCTCTGCTATGATGACCAGCCAGCTTGATGGCAGTCAGGGAGGGAAGACTCTTATACTTAGCCCTTAGCTCTGGCTACTTCAGTCATCGTCTGTCAGGTGATAGGCAACTCTACCAACTGGCACACCCATTCGCAGAAGGACCCTGTGCAGAGGCTGCTGCAAAGGCAGTGTCTCAGGGTGACATCAGCCATTTGTGTGCACCTAGGGCTCTGCTAGGCAACGTGACTGTCTCAAGTCCAAAAACAAGGGAGACAAGGAGGCTGAGATGAAGGAAGGCATGAGCTGCAGAGGAGAGGCCAGGGTTCCATGGGTAGGGACCAAGTGTGCAGAATTGGCCCAAGTCTCCAGAGGCGCTTAGGACGAGGGCCTGGGTGCACCTTTGAACGATGGTCAGGTGACACTTCTAAAGCAGGGTCGAGGGTGAGGATTGACTGGGAACAGCCCTCAAATGGTGCATGCACTAAGAGGGGAGTCCCAAGACTTGGGCTCTAGCCTCATCTCTCACCTGAAGCCTAGCACAGCAGCCATCTGTGGCCACTTCCCCTCTTTAGGGGCACCCGACTGTCTCCTGGAAGCAGCTGGCACGTTTCTAAAAGCGTCTTGAACATGTTCACCTTAGGAGAGACATCTGTTTTCATCAGTTTCGAATCTCTCATCATTAAAATATCATCATTAACCCACTCATTAAAGTAAAATACAGAAACCTCATTTCAAGAAAGGGTCTGGATTGCTCAAACTCTGAGGAAGTTTATCATCAACAGGCATTTATTAAGTGCCTTCTGTGTGCCAGGCCCTTGTGCCAGGTGCTGGGAATGTGAGCACAGAACTGCCCTTAACGAGCTCTCCTATTGGATCAGAGGAAGGGGCGCATGCAGTCTATGCAGATTAAAAAGTAACGTGGTTGGTAAATGTGGGGGGCGCAAGCTCAGCCTCATCCAGGACAGGAGGCTAGCTAGCCTTTGAAGGAAGCTAGGAATTTAAAGAAGATATGTAGTCTAGTGGTGCTATGTGGCTGGTACAAAGGGACAGAGATGGGAAATGGAATAGTGTATGCGAGGACCAGTAAGAGGGTCGGTGAAACTGACCCTGGGGTACAGAACGGGGAGTCATGTGTAGTGAGGCTGGGCCCGAAGGCTTCTAAATGCGTAACAAAAGAATGTGAGTTTGATCCTGAAGCCTCTTAAACAAGGGAGCGCCATGGTCGGAAAAAGTGATGAGGACCCCTGAGCCGGAGAGATGGCTGTGTAAGTGAGATGTTGGGAAGAGGGAAGGGGCAAGACTTAGCAACTGATTTGAGCCATGGGATAAGTGAGGGGATGACAGCTAGGTTGCAGGCCTGGGTGACAGGAAGGCTGCCGGTCCCCTCCATTCTGAGAGGGAAGCCAAGGAGGGTGGAAGGCTTGGGGAGGAAGAGGATGAGTTCTTCTTTCATTGTGTCAGATTCCAGATGGCTATAGGACGTGCAGTTGGAAGTGGCCAAGGGGCTGTTTTTGCCGTGGGCCCGGAGGTTAGGGCTCCAAAGAGGAATCTGGAACTCATCTGCATCAAGATGATCACCAATCCATGGGCGTTTGAGACCTTCGGGAAAGCTTCACTGAGGAAGCTCAGCCACCCTCATCATTCCTTCACTTGAGAATTCCCTTTGTTCAGAGAGAATTGGGATTATGGGCTCTCTGCTTGTCCACTTTCCTCATATCCCTTGCTCACTCACTAGGTCCTCAAGGCCTGAGTTCCGGTCTTATCCTTTAGGAGCCCCAGCACACTTGGCGGGGCTGGTGACCTCATGTTTGCTAAATGCAGCAATGACTCAATCCCTGACAAGGCAGGCAGGGATTGGACCGGATGACCTCAGAGGACCCATCCTGCTCCAAACAATTACTGAGAGGTGCCTGGAGATGACAGTGGCCCTAAGAAGACTTGCCCTGCCTACCTTGCCAGGGTGTGGTAAAGACAGCACATTGTAATACAGAAAGCCTATATTATGTGAACTCAGATTGGTTTAATGGTGAGCCCAGGGAGGATGTGGTCTCTGCCTTGGTGCATTTGACTCCTCAGTCCTGAGCACAGAGCCTTGTGTGTAGACGACAAGTATTTGTTGAACTGGAAGAAAATTCCCTGAGTCACATGCAACTCATGCCAGAAGAGTTCCAAGGAGCCATCTTTTACTGGGGAAGAAGCAGAAGCTGGGCAGTGGGAGGGAGTCCAAAGAGCTGAGCTCTGATTGCACGTCTCTCACTTCTTAGCCATGGATGTCGCTCACTCTGGGAGTCTCAGTTTCTCCCTTGGGATGAGATGATTAGACTACATAGTTTCTGCAGTTCCTTGTAGCCCTGACATTCTACTTACCTCCTCTCTTGATCCCTCCTCCTCCTCCTTATCATAGCTACGATTCCACCCAGGCAAGCCTCAGCCTAGGATCACTCCCACCATGCAGCACTCCACTCCTATACCATTCTGACTGGCTCCACTTGGCTGGCTGGCTCCACTGCAGATTTCTGTTACCCAGCCTCGCCTGGGTCCTCACTGCTGCCAGGAAATCCTTCCTCATCAGGTCACTCTCCTACTGTCCACAGAGGCTCTTCCAAACCTTTTCACCCCTCCTCAAACCTCCCATAACTCCTCTTTCCTCCTTTCTCTCGGCCAAAAGCCTTGCTTGGTTTGCCGTTGCCATTTGCCATGAGCTGCCTCTTCTCCCCTCTTCCTCATCTCCTATCACTCAGGTGCCTTCTGGAAACATCTCCTCCCTCACCCCATCTCACATTGCTTCTCACCAAGGCCATCCCCTCTAACTGCACAAGCAAACCCATTCCATCCCACCTCCTCCAGCAGATCACCCCCTCTGCCGTCCCCGCTCTCTCACTCATCTTCAGTCTCTCCCTGTCTCCTGGTTCCTTCCTGACTGCCGACAAACGTGCTCATGTCTCCCCCATCCTGGAAAAAACCCCCACTCACTGTTGCCCTTTGTAGTTAAACTCCTTGAAAAGGCCGTCTACACTAGCTGCCCCAACTTCCTCTCTTCTCATTCTCTTCTTAACCACTTAGAATCCATCTGCCGAGTTCCTCATTCCAGTAGGTCACTTCTCACCCCTCATTCTCCTTGGCTCCTCCTGGGCCACACTGGGAATCGCTCTCTCCTCCTTGATCCTCTCCTCTCTAGATGTTTGGAACACCCCACTCCCTCCTGGTTCTCCCCCTCCCTCTCTGACCTCTCCTTCTCAGTCTCCTTTGCATCCTGGACCCTCCCCCATATCACCTCCTGTAATGGTAGGTGTGTCCCTCGGGGCTCTGTCCTAGGCCTCCTCCCTTCTCCCTCTAGACTGCTTCACTTGGCCATCTCCTCAGCTCCCATGGATTTTATTACCGTCTCTATGCTGAGGATTCTCACATCTACCCATTCTGCTCCAGGCTCTCTGCTGACCTCCGGTCTCCCATCTCCAGCTGCCTTTCAGACATCTCAAACTGGATGGCCAATTTAACTCCATACGTCCAAAATGGAACTCATTATTTTTTCCCCAAACCCTCTCCCTCCTCCTACCTTCCCTATTACTGTAGAGGGCAACACCAGCCTCCTAGGCCCTCAGGCTCCAACATAGGAGTTGTCCTAAATACCCAATATGGTGCCAAGGCCCGTCAGTTTCACCTTTCCAACATCTGTTTGCTCTGTTTGCCATTCCAAACCCTTCATAGCCTAACCCCCAACTCTCATCTTTTCAGTCTTCTTACAGCTTATGGTTCAGGGCAGCACACTGGCCTCCTGGCTGTTCCACAGAAAACAAACTCTGTTGACTTTGGGCATTTTCTCAGCCAGTCCCTCATGCCTGGAAGGCTCTCCCTCCTCCACTCTGCCTGCTGACCTCCCTGGCTTCCTTTAAGTCCCAACAAAAATCCCACCTTCTACCGGAAGCCTTCCCCAACCTCTCTTAATTCTAGTGTTTTCCCTCTGTTAATTAGCTCCTATTCTATACATAGCTTGCTTTGTATATATTTCTTTGCATATTGTCTCTCCCATTAGATTGTAAGCTCTTTGTTGAGGGCAGGAACTGTCTTTTTGTCTCTTTTTGAATCTCCAGCACTTAGCACAGTGCCTGGCACAAAGTAGGTGCTCAACAAATGTTGATTGATTCCATGCTGCCTGCCATCTAAAAGAAGTACCCTTTTCCTTCCCTCATTTCTATCCTTCCTCCTCAAATGAAGAAAGAGCAGAGACGGTGATGTAGGTTTGGGCTGGCTGGGATGGCCTAGAAGCTCCTTTCCTGCTCAAGGTTCTGCAATTCTGAGTCCAACTTAGTTTGATGATTTCAGCATTGTGGACATCTCTCCTACCAATGCAGATTTTTGTTGTTCAGTCATTTTTCAGTTGTCCTCAACTCTGTGTGAGTCACAACAAAATGCAGCTAGTCCTTATCTTACTTGTCTCTTGAGGAACCCTGTATGTGAGCCGAGAAACAATAGTTAGAACCGAACAGTGAACAACTGATTGGTTGAAGAGTGGAAGAGGAGTATATATTGTCACCTTATTTATTTAACTTATGTCCAGAGTACAATA